GAATGTCATGTTCTACAGACCCGTACCGCCGGCCCCACCGCCACTCCCACCGCAACAACAGCAACAGTCAGGTCGCGGCCGCCGGCCGTCGCGCCGTTCCCGACGGCACCAGTGGTCGTCTCAGTACAGTAGTCGTTACGGACAGAACCGCACCAATCAATTCAATCCTTATGCTAGATATCAGGGAAGCGGACAAATCGGGTCAAAGATTCGCAAATCACGTCCCAATCAGTAAGTCTGGTATTACAGCACTCTTTACGACATATTTCAGACAAATTGCTTTCAAGTAAAAATACAATTCAAAACCCATTTATAATTTGTATTTGATTTATTGCTTATAATTATTTTGTTATTAAAAAATGTCATTTAATTCTTTGACTCTTAATAGTTATGTTGTTTAAGTTTGGTTTTGATAACATTTGAATAATCGGTTTAATCAATCTCTTTATTTATTTACGTAAAGATTCTTTATTTGTATTTTTGAGCCAAACGTTGCGATATTTTTATTGTTTTAATTTTGTATTCAATTTGAGATCCAATGGATATGAGGCCGACATCACAGCCCAACCGATGCCCGGACCATACATTTCTTCCATATTCATGACTGACTTGAGGGGCGTTTTCTGGCTTTTAATCTCCGGTTTAATTATCGGACCATTTGTTGTAATTTCTGAATTGATTACAAAATATATTATTTTTCGAACTTAAAATGCATTTTATTATTATAATTATATTTATTAAAACTAAAAATGATTTTCTACTAACTCTGTTAAAAACACTTTAATCGTAATAAAAATTTTGTTTCATTAATATATTAATTAAATTGTTTACATCAAATTATAGTAAATAAATATTTAATTAACTTAAGTAACATGTTTGTTTTATAAATTATGATCTACAATATATGATTTAACTTATATTAATTTTCAAAAATTACATCAATGGAAGTAATAGTATCTATAATTTAAGTTTATATAAAGACAATGAAACAAATTAAAAGTCAGTGAAAATTCTTTGCAATAATTGTATTAATATAACAGTGAATGAGAAAACAGATGACAAAATCTAAACAAAAATCGCTTATTAATTGTAAATACATTAAAAACATTAAATTTAAATTAAATTTTAGTTTTAGTGTAAAGCAATTATTGTAACACAATATTCTGTGCCTCCAATTGCCGTACGTTTGAAATATCATACATTGGAATCAAACGTTGATACAAGACATGGACAGTCGGCCGACGGGTCTGGTAATAGTCTACAAACAGCACGTATACGATAGACACGAGACAAATCTGCAAATACATCTGTAATGCGAATTTAATATACTCTGGTGTTGCTAAACAAGTATAAACTCTTTATGTTTTCATAATAAAAAATTAGTTCTCTCTAAATGGCTTCTACATAAGAGACTATTTTGAAAATATTGTAATTTTTGACTGAAAAAGTCCACACAATAGGGCTAATTTAAAACGTGTCACAATTGAATGACACACCGTTTAGTGTAAAACAGCTTAAGATTATATTGGAATCGTGTCTTAAAGGGACAGTCCTTCCAATTCGTCACATTCAACGCCTTTTCGGTCAAATCGCGGATCTCTTCGAACAGCGAATCGGGTGCCGACCGGCGGCTCATCAGGTGATGGATGTAAAGCAACGAGTAATTAATGAGAGTCATTGTCTTCAACGGGTGATAATCGCCGTAAACCACATCCAAATCCGTCAACAATGACCGCAAATAAGTCTCCAATTGAGCGCTGGAAGTGAATCCACTCAACATCGACTTATCCACGTCTGGCTGTAATCGCCGGTAATCCACTTCGCGGTCCGTATTGTCTACAAATTTCACGCACTGGCAGTCAATGGACATACTCTTCAGCGCCAACTTTCTCTCATTTGGATCCATTTTCAAGTCCACACGACTTACGGTAATCTTTTCTCCCGGAGCTATTGATCTCATGGCCCGCAACTCAACCGTATGTCCTGTCCATTGGGTTATCAAACGATACAATCATAAGAATCGGCAATAAGTAAATTGAAAACTATATTACAAACCATTGAATCGCGAAATACAGCAACTGTTGGGCCGACAGCTATGGCTCAGTGTTAAGGTCTGGAGGTTTAGACAGAGGGCTACTGTGGCCACAGACCCGGCGGCACCGCATTGCAGGTAATAGAGGTTATAACTATTCATTAGTGGCGACCATTGCATCAGTTCTTCGCGAACGTAATCGACGCCCAATTCAGTGAATAACTCACAAATGGCTTCAAACAACTCGATGTCGTCGTTATCACCGCTGGAATCAATGGCGTTGTCTCTGATGTCATTGAGACTGACATCCGATCCGTCAAACAATCGGTGCTTTTCTGTGGCAAACGTTGGGATGTTTTGCACCGAAAGGTAGAGTCGGTTGTACCAGTTAATTAGGTTACCACCGATTTTACCTTGCTATCTTATACGCCATATCATATACTATATCTATATAAAATTTGACCGAAATTCACCATGCAACTTTCGAGATTTTCGACTTTGTT